ATGGTCAGGTTACTTTTTGGGAGGCGAAATCTAGTGGCGCTCCCACTCCTTCCCCGACTATGACTTCTGGAGCTAGCCTTTGGAGTTGAGACTCCTGTGCAGTCTTCTATGGGGACTGTAGCTCCACATAGCTGTCCTGCGTTGACCTGACTTTGATCAACGAGGGGCTTTGGACCTCTGGGATATCAGAGAGGCAGGCACATGCGCTGCTGAAGAGCAAGTAGGGCTCTAGTTGCAAGCACGAGAGAATGTCACAGAGTAGTAGGGCTCGGGCGACAAGCACTAGAGGATGCCGCAGAACAAGTAGGGCTCGGGTGGCAGGCACGAGAGGATACCACGGAGCTGTAGGGCTCAGGCGGTAGGCACAAGAGGATACCGCGGAGCAAGTAGGGCTCGGGTGGCAGGCACGAGAGGATGTCATGGAGCAGTAAGGCTCGGGCGGTAGGCACGAGAGGATGTCATGGAACAGTAAGGCTTGGGCGGTAGACACGAGAGGATGCTGCGGAGCAAGTAGGAGTTGGCTCATGAATGAGGCGCTAAGCTAGAGGTTGAGGTTGTTCGGGAGCAAAGGTAGAGTTACGTATAGCTCAAAAGAGAGCTGTCGTGGCAGAGACTCATTCCATTGAGATGAAGATGATGAGGGCTCTCTCATTTCATTAAGATGGAGATGAAGAGGGTTTTGAGGAGTTGGGCGCCTAAGACTCATTCCACTAAGATAGAGATGAGGAGGGTGTTGAGGAGCTGGGCCCCTGAGGCTCATTCTATTGAGATGGAGATGAGGAGGGTGCTGACAAGCTGGGCGCCTGATGCTTGGTGTTGGGCACCTGAAGCTGGGTGTCTAGTGAGAGGGGGTGAGACTCATCATGGGGAGCGCCCAATGTGGAGAGAACAAGACCTCTCATCAAGGCGGCATTAAGAGGAATGCCTAAGGTGGAGAGGGCGAGACCCCTCGTGCGTCTGGTGAGAGGGGGTGAGACCCATCGTCTGAGCCTGCCTGGTGAGAGGGGGAGGGACCCATCGTCTAGGCAACATCGAAGGAGGCACCAAGGTGGAGAGGGCGAGGCCGTCATGGGGGCGCCTAAGGTGGAAAGGGCGAGACCCCTCCTCTAGGCGATATCATGGGAGGCACCCAAGGTGGAAAGGGCGAGACCCCTCATCTAGGCGTCTTTTGACTTTTTGTCTACCTTGTTGTTGATAGGTCGTAGGCTGTTTGAGATGAAAACAAGACAATTATGAAAACCATAATTTTGCAAAATTTTATTTCATAAAATAATGAATAACAAAATAAATCAATTGAAATTGTAAAAGATAAATAAAATCTTCAGGCATGTCCTATAGGTGGGCCGATGTTTCCTTGGCGGAGTTGTAGCCTTCAAGAGATTGTCTGAATTTCTCTAAGGGGTTGCTAACGTTCTCTGTCGTCCTAGTCCCAACCAGGTAGCGGGGCTTGTCCTCTACCAGCAACGTATTGCCTCAACTGACCACGTTGTATGAGCTCCTCTATCTGTCTCTTGAGCTCATAGCGGTCATCTATGTCGTGGTCATGGTCGCGGTGGAAGCGACAGTGCCTACTATGATTCCGGCGCTTGGGGTCAGATTTCATCTTTCCAGGCCAACGGATCACGGGGTCGTCCTAAATCTAGAAAAGGATGTGCTCCACTGAGGCATTGAGTGGAGTGAATGGTTGTCAGTCTCTCGGTGGCAGTGGTTCAAGGCGGTCCTTAACGGAGACTCTGTCGACTTTCTTTCTCTTGTTCTCAATCTCCCTTCTTTCTTCTCGGTTGTCTTTCCTTTTCTCCCCTTCTCGAGAAGACTCACCTCGGCGGCCCTTGGTGACGTCCTCAGCATTCATATACTTCTGTGCCCTGGACAATAGCTCAGACATGCTAGAGGGCTGCTTCTTGAGGACCAAGAACATGAAACTGAAAGTGCGGAGGCCGGCGATGAAGGCAGCCAGAGCCACCTTATCATCTGGCTCATCAATCTGGAGCACCTCCTCATTGAAGCGAGCAAGGTAGTTATAAAGGCTTTCTTCCCTATCTTGCTTGATGGTGAGCAGTTGGGTCACTTGTTTCTGATGGCGACGTCCCCCAATGAAGTGGGAGACGAAGGACCTACTTAGTTTTGCGCCAAGGCCGGCGATGAAGGCAGCCAGAGCCACCTTATCATCTGGCTCATCAATTTGGAGCACCCCCTCATTGAAGCAAGCAGGTAGTCACGAAGGCTTTCTTCCCTATCCTGCTTGATGGTGAGCAGCTGGGTCGCTGGTTTCTGATGGCAACATCCCCCAATGAAGTGGGAGACGAAGGACTTACTTAGTTCTGCGAAGGAGCGAATAGGGGAGGACCTGAGCTTAGAGAACCACTAGGGGCAGACCCTTTTAATGTGGTAGGGATGGCCCTACACATGATCTCCTCAGGCACCTTGTGGAGTTATATGAGGGACTTGTAGGTATCCAAATGGTCGAGGGGGTCTTTGGTGCCGTCGAAGATCTCGATGATGGGCATCTTGAACTTCGAAGGCAACAGAAATTAACAATGTCAGTAACAAAAGGAGTATTAGTGCACCTTACCAGATAGTCCACGGTTTCAGGCGTATGTGCCTTGATGGTGTTGAGGGGATTACCAAGCTGGTCCTGCACTTCCCTGATCTTCTTGTCCCATTAGTTGGGGACATCTTCCATCGGGTGATGGTATTGGCTTTCGTAGTCTCCGTACGGACTTTCTCCTTTGTCCTCCTGTGCAGGCACGTGCAAAAAGGGAACATGTGTGCTCCCTGCGTGTTGAGTTGGGACTACTAGGTAAGGGGCTCTTTGGCGTGGCCCTGGAACATTCTAGCGAGGGACCTGGCGCCCAGAAGCGACAGGTAGCGACTCATCTCCTATTGGAGGGAGTGGGACTCCTCCTGCGGGGTGATGGGTAACACCCCCTTGGTTGAGCATTAGCTGGATTATCTGTTGATTTTGTTTCACCAGTAGTTACATAGTCTGTAGAAGTTGTTACTGTTGTTCAACGGCGGGAGTCACCCATGGTAAAGGGTTCTGAAGGTGCGAGGGGAGGTGGAGCCTCCTCCAGGTCCGCAGGGTTGTTGTCTCTTGGCTATTGGCTCATTAATCGGGTAGTGATTGCCATAGATTGGAAGAGTAGGAAGATTAGTTGTTTCCCATAGACGACACTAAACTGATGATGCACAAAACTGTCTTTGTGCAATATCAACAGTCAAGTATCTGTAAGGGTGCAATTAATGAGTGACAAACAAACAATCAGTGGGAATTAAGAGTAGAATAGTAATAATAGATCAACACAGGAATTTATAGTGGTTCGGTCCGGGTGACCTACTCCACTCTCGGGAATGGCAGCAGTGGCCTGGTGTTCTTTATTGATGAATCGTGGTCTTCGAAAAGTTACAGTGCTTTTGAGAGAGAGAGAGAGAGATGTGTGCATAGAGGTTTTGGAGGCCTCAAGGTGTAGAGGTCTCAAGAAGGTCCTTGGAGGCGTGGGAGGTGTTGGAGCCGTTGGAGACCCTTCATGTTGAGAGGGCTTACATTTTATAGTTAGGGTAAGGTAACAGAGGCGGTGACGTGAGAGAGAAGAATTCTATTGCTTTGACAAGTATTGTTATGGTAGGAGATCTTCTATATCTATCTCCATATTTATCTTCCCTCGTGCTCTTATTCATCCGGAGGAGAACATTAGTTGGACCTAGACCTGGATTTGTCTTGAGTAGGCTTGGCTTGGACCTGGACCTGAACTTGTCTTGGACCTGGACCTGGACCTGGAGTACCAAGGTGAGGAGGATCAAGAGGAGGGGCGCCCAAGGGTTGCCATGGTCGGCGCCCAAGGGCTCCCTTGTCCTCCTCCTCCTCCGACCGTTGGTTTTTGGTGCTGTCTTCTTGGTGCCCTCCTCCTCGATAGGTCGATAATGGACGTTTCTTTAGACTTTCTCGATTTATCTAAATTGGGATTGACCCAATAAAATGCGGGCTCATCAATATTTATGTTTTAACACTGCGTTAACATACAACTAATTCTGATGAAGGGCGTCAGTGAAATTTCAAAAGATGCAAGGGACATCATTAAATATATGAATAACTATAAGATGTGTTGATGAAATTTATCCTAAAAATATTATAAACAGTACAAATTTGACACGCTATGAATATGGTTGTATATAATTATTAATATATCAAAAATGAATTTAACAAATTTTATTATAATATGAATCCGATTAGATTTAACACGACCCATTATCAAGTTTGAAACATGACCCAATTTAATGTGGATCAAACTTGCTAAGCTACCCACATATACACCGCCCAATTCTCAACACAAAAATGACCGCAACAACATTGTTCGCTGTCCCAAACCAGTTACAGCGAAGAAACACGAGGTCGACCCAATCCACCCACCTAGGAAATATTATGGTAAAAATTATAGATGATACCTAAACTTTACTTTTGATTTTAATTTAGTCCCCAAATTTTTAATTATTTTAATTTATTTCCTCAACTATCAATTTTATCTTAATTAATTTATTTTGTCTATTTTCACCATTTCGTCAACGTTGAAAATTTATGGAAGAACTTAATTAAAATGAAATAAATAGTTAAGGACTAAATTAGAACAATTAAAAATAAAAGGACCAAATTGAAGCCGAAAAAACAATTCAGGGACCAACTATAATTTTTATATAAAACCAAATTTTAGCTATGAGAGATGTTTTGCTTACCAAATTTACATCCTAAATCAATAAGGATAGTTAGATTAGTAGGTCCCGTCAAAAAAAATTATTGGGACCAATGATCCAACCATTCTCGTTGATTTGGCCAAACAATTGCGCTAAAGATTTATGGCATCAAATGAATTCACTTACTAATCTAATACCAGAAAACCCAAAACAATTTTGGGTTATCCTACTGCCCCATCGGGATGCAAAATCTCTCATAACCAAACATCCGCCTCATTTACTCTATTAACTAGGGTTTCCGTAGCCCTCCGCCTCCACTCATATATAATCGAAACAAAACCCTGAACTCTCGTCTCCAACGCATCACCTACAGACAAGCACACACTACGACGGTGAGGAGAGAGATCGTCAGAAATGGTGACTTACAAGGTCAGTTAATCCAATCTTTTACGCAGTTCTTCTAAAATGGATTAATGTGTGTGTGAGAGAGAGACTTGATATAGATTGCTTGAGGATTTGAAGTCTAAATTTGATTTGATTTGATTTAGTTATATATATATTTATATATTGTGTGTTTGTGTGCAGTTTCATCAGTACCAGGTGGTGGGAAGAGCCCTCCCATCGGAGACCGATGAGCATCCCAAGATCTACCGCATGAAGCTCTGGGCAACCAACGAAGTCCGTGCCAAGTCCAAGTTCTGGTACTTAAAAACACTGGTATCCTCTCCCTCTGTGTTTATATATTATTGTTAATTGATATTGATTTGATTCGGTTTTGGTTGACAAAGGTACTTTCTGAGGAAGCTGAAGAAGGTAAAGAAGAGCAATGGCCAAATGCTTGCTATCAATGAGGTATATCTCTCTTATGTATTGTCTGTTTTTGTATTGATTTATCTTTTGATGTGGACTTGATTTTGGGTTCAAAATTATGAGAATGAGGTTGGAAAAATAAATTGATTTCTGCCCAATTGGTTACCACCAGTTATGCTCTCAGATTTGAAAGATATTACTAATTGTGATTACAGTATGAAGTTGGTTCATCATGTGCTTAAAAGGTAATTTGATTTATGCTTGATTGGATTTAATCTGCGTGCATGTTTAAACTTTGCATCAATTTTTAGGTGAATTTATGAGTTAATCATTGCAATGAATTGGGCTTGGTGTGCCTAAATGTAATCTTTTTTTGTTAAAATGATTGGATTATGTAGTAGCTTGTTTTACCCCCATTTGTTTATATCGTACGTAGCTACAAATATGGGTACGATACAATATAGATATAGTGATATTGCAAAATCTAAAAATAAAAAATAAAATAGATATAATAAGAATACGCCTATAATGAAATATATTTTAATACTATCTAACGCCTTAGTAGTTATAATGTTGGCAAATTTTTTAACAATAACAAGCAAAATTTGCTTTTTTACTTTCAAAAAGGTATATATATGTCTCATTATGGTATATCTACAAAGCTAAGAATTATGGGTATGACTACAATACGATATAGATATAGCAATGTGACAACCAGAAAAAATAGGATATAGATATAACAGTGACATGCCTATGAGAAAATATAGTTTTAGTGTCATCTAACATCTTGATAATTATATTTTTCTAGTAATTCTTTAACAATAACAAGCAAAATTTACAATTTTGCCTTCAAAATGATATATATTGTCTCATTATGGTATGTCCACTGCACAAACTGAATGTGGTTAATCAAAGGAATCAAAAGTATTAGTTATAATTAGTTGCTTTGCTTAGAAATATGTGTTAACTAATATTATAGTGTGATTAATTAATTTATAACATTTCGACATGTGAAAGTGATAATACTTAAAAATCATCCATTTGTAGCCAAAGACATGTTAATTTTGTTGATGTATTACATTGTATGAGAATTCAAAAGGAGGGGTAAAGATTAAATTAATAGTTATATATATATACTAGCAATAACTCATGTCTGAAGACACGATGCAACATAAAATCTGAGCGCCCAAAGAATTGATCCAACTAATTTCTTCTTTCCCATTCTTTAATTGCATAATTTGAAATTAATTTTTTCTTATCTTTTAAAACAAAAAAATCAAAATACATGACCTCAAAAAAAATATCAACATGTGTATATATTTTTTTGGTTCAGTTGTCCTGTGTACATGTATATGAATAATGTTGAAAATAAAAATTGTATTGGACTACCGATTAATCAAAAATTAAATAATGTAACTTGGGATAGAAATGAGTGAATGAGAAAATATATGGGAATTAAATTCAAATTCTTATCTCCCTTATTACTGATACTAGGGATAATTCGTACCTGAAGGCACAGTACAATGTAAATAGTTTGTCCAATGTGAATAGTTTTAAAAGGGATATTGATGAGCATTAGATGAGTCTATTTGAGACTGTCGAATGAATTTATTAACGCCTGCCCTGTTTTATATTATAAATTTCTCCACTTATAGAAGTATCAACAAAATATCCACACATTTTATTTATTTTTAGAAACGTATTCGACAAGTATCATATTCGATATCTGATACGAATATATCAAACTTAACGAAGTTTCTATGTTTCATATCCACATGAACATGACTAGTTGAAGGACTCATGACCAACAATTAATTAGTTTGCTTGCTTAGAAATATTTTTTGTTACGGTTGTAGTGTAATTAACTCATTTATACTCTTCTGATATGTGATAATGGATAATACTTAAGAAACGCAATGTCTTCCAAGTCATATGGATTTTTGTTGATGTATCATATTTTTAAAATTAAGATTAAAAATTATATATTTCATCACTTATAGAAGTATCCACATATTTTCATTGGATATATATGGTGCATATTCGATACGTATCTTCGAGTATATATTTGATTCGGTATCCAATACATATACTTCAAGTTTGACCGAGTATCCGTGTTGCATAGACTCCTACCTTCTATTTTTTTGTACACTCTTCCAGTTTGGGTTTAGACGTTTAATTCACTTGATAATTTGGTGCAGCGTTGCCAGAAAACCCTCATTTGAATTGCTTCAATTGGGTTTATGTGTATAGTCCTTTTCCATACATAGATGTATACATCAGTTTCAGCATGTTTATGTTTGTATACATAATTGTATACTATCTAGCTCATTTGTTTAACCTACATTTGCAAGTTTTACAGCAACTGATGGTTGGATGGATGCGTTAGGATGTCTAATTTTTTCTACTTTCAAGAGTAGAACTTGAATTCTGCAAATTTCCTGCCAATTTTCTCGTTACATTTATGATTTATGTAATCTGATGTACTCTTTTCGTGTGACTTCCTGATTCTATTGTTCTGAAGAACTATTAGCATGCTCTGTTTGCAGATTTTTGAGAAAAACCCGACGACGGTCAAGAACTATGGTATCTGGTTGAGGTACCAGAGTAGAACCGGTTATCACAACATGTACAAAGAGTACCGTGATACTACTTTGAATGGTGCTGTTGAGCAGATGTACACTGAGATGGCTTCTCGCCACAGGGTCCGTTCTCACTGCATACAGATCATCAAGACAGCCACCATTCCTGCTAAACTTTGCAAGAGGGAGAGTACCAAGCAGTTTCACAACTCCAAAATCAAGTTCCCGTTGGTCTTCCAGAAGATTAGGCCACCATCTAGGAAGCTCAAGACTACTTACAAGGCATCTAGGCCCAACTTGTTCAAGTAACTTTTTTGGTCATTTGTTGGGGGAAGTAAGAAATCCAAGATTTATATTATGCATTTTTGTTTCTTCAGGGGGAACCTACAATGTCATTTGGTGATAGTCGGATATTATGTTTATTTTTGAAATGTCTAGGATATCAGACAATATGATCTTTTCATTGTGTTTTAGGATTCTTGTTTCATCTACATTTTTTGGAGTTGCAGTACCTGCTGTCTTTCCTGTGTGGTTTGTCTCTTATGTTTCAAGAATCATTTTGCTTGAAATATGATGTTTTCTTTGATTCGATAGTATATCCAATTTTGGAATCTATTTGCCCAAGTGATGAAATTCCGAGGTTGGTTACTCAAGTGTGACAGATCAATTTTCTTATGTTACATTTTTGTTATAGAGAAGGTTACCTAGTAGGGGCTGCCCTTGAAAATAGAACTGTGGAGAGCTACCCTTATTGGAGGATGTCATGGGCATTTAATTTTATCCTTGCACCCAGATTGCCATATTCACGATGGTGAATGCCCTGGTCCCCTATCTGGTATGCTATCTATTTTTCTGGATAGTGCTTTGTCTCGGTGTTAATCTTTCATTGTTTTTAAAGATTGGCAGCTTTTGATATGCTTTATCTGTGTAATCTTGATCACACGTAGCTATTGATGATGCTTTTCATGATGTTCTCTTTGTTTAAGTCTCAATACTTGAAGCTTTAGATAATGTTCTCTTCACTTAGATCTCAATTACCTGGTTCCTTTCGGTTTGAATTCATCTGTTCTAATTTTACCCAGACGTGTAGGTTAAGGGTGTTCACTGTAAGCAAGGACTTGACCTGTATCTAAAGACTAACGGAGGAACATTGTTGTTCATTTAAACATTCAGAACTAGAATATGTTGAAGATTAATCATGTTGTCTGCTAGGGAGATCCGATGGATTACATTTCTCAAGTCATACCATTCTGAATTCCTTTGCAGAGTGCAATTATAGAGATAGATCCGGGAATTACGTTTTGTGGATGGTAATATTTTTTGGAGAGTAAATTCAGACTAGTCCTTTTTTTTCCTTATTTAGTGGTGGGGGACTTTGAATAATTCCTTTTTTTAAGAGACATAATTGGAACAATTCTAGGCTATCAAGAAAAAAAATCGAACCTACACAAGCATGGGGTATCCAAGTTTAACAGAATGACAATGCAGGTTTTCCATATCCCCAAGCTAGTGAACATTGGACACAATCCAGGAGCACCATATTGTGACCATATTGCTTACAAAACAGATCAATCTGTTACAGTGAGAAAAATACTGCAGAGTAGTAAGCAATACAATCAGTGTGTAAACTACACTAGATAAAATACACTACACCCATGTCCCTGTTTATCATCAGTTTCCCTTTATCTTGCGCTATCTGCAAAAAAATTAAATCGGATTATTGCTATTAGCTACAAGGTAAACTAAATATTGCTTATGTTTTTTTTTTCTTTTTTGTGCTATTAAAAAGGAGGTGGGGACAGGCAACTAGATGTGGAATCCCTACCAGGTCTAGCAATCCTCACCTGTTAGGAAAATCCTCAAGAGGGACTTAAACGGGAGAAACCACGCTCTCTAAAGACAACCTACGCTATAACCGAACTCCAACCCTACCAAACTGCTGGAAGCTGCTCATCGTTCACTCCCTTTCGATCGAATCTAGGACATAACCTAGAGGGCCTCAAGCAAGACCCATGAAAAGGTACTAAGTGCCACTACACCACACAGCTTGGTGGTTGCTTAGGTTAAATTGGCAATAAGTACTAAAACTGTTTGACATTCCCAAGTCCCCGATCTTAAACCAAAAAGCAAGACACATAATTCTAACTGAGTCTAAACTGAAATATAACTGCCATTGATGCTTCTGAAGATACTGACCAAATCCCTTTTAAACAATCAAATCAGCATTACCTCTAACATGGACATAATCTCTGCACTTGAAGATGGTACTGGTGCTCCATGGTTGACGACCCTCTCAATATCCACAATAGACATAGTATCCAAGTGCTGTGCACTGGTATGCTTGCCAAGTAAGGTTATAAATGCATCTATCCTGCATGTGAGAAAGATAAAATAGAATTCAACACAACCACAAAATATGCTAGACCAAAAATTTTATGATTTAGGGTGAAGAAATAATCAACTGATGACAGAAATAAACAGAACATTTGCAGAGCCAAGGTTGTAAATAAACCTTTCTGGAGAAATGTTGACAGTGGATTGTGCTTCAGGAGGGCCATCCACGTCCATGGCTTCCATTGCACTGACCAAACATGAGACGAAAGAAGAATAGGGTTAGCTACCAAATTAGACAAAATGACAGACCAAACTCAGTCCAGTAATTCCAATTTTCTTGTATGGCATCAACCACCTTAATTGTATCACACAAAATACAGGCAGTCCTGTATGATTCAGACTTAGCAGTTTTGAAACAAAATGTTCCAGATACAGTGTGATGAAATAAAAAAGGCCGAATTTTTTTGAAAACCTTGATCCCTATTAATAGCTGCATCCATAGTACATCTCTTGTAAACTCTCCCAAAATGCAATGATCTAATCCAAAATTGATCAGCTTAAAATCAAACTATCAATAGGAAACTTGAGTACAAAGCAATGATGTCACAAAAAATTTAATGCAGACATCTAATAGCTAATAGATTCATCACACAAAATCTTTTAACTTCTGTACATTGTAACAAAAGAGTACAAGAAAAGTTATTAAAAAAGTAATGTTTTGTCTTGAAAGAAGGATGAGGCCATGGTTATTTTTGTAGTCAAACAGTTATACTTTACAGAACTCTCAATCATTCAGATCAATATGGGGAATAACCACAACCATCACTGGATTTTGGAGAGCACACAAAAGGGACGATTCCCATTTTGGTCCCCTTTGGAGTGATTTTGTACAGACCTAATCAATTAATTTGCACCAAGTGACCACTTTCATATTCCAACCTACTATCTGACAGTAGTTAGCCCGACCTTTGCAAAGCACACATGACTAAATACACTCAGGAAATGACAGAAATCCTATGAATTTAAACCTTTGTTAAATCTGGAACATGTTACAATGAAATGTACAACGCAAGAGGGATTTTTTTTTTTTTTTTGGAAAAAAAGAGCCAGGAGGGGATATTTAGGAAAAGAAAATATCATTTTATTAGAGGAGAATTCATCTCATTTACATTTCTGTAGTTGACAAGACCTTAGAACTTCAGATAAATCTAAGGCACAAGTTCAGATTCAGAACATAAGGATTGAAAGGGAGGAAATCAGTTTCGTTGGATGCCTATTCCTCTGAACAAATTCCCTTGGGAACTCCAACATCATAAAATATTCTTTCATGCTGTCACTTATTCTGCCTCAATTAAAAGAAAATAATTTTGGTTTGACTAAAGTCCTAGCTGGTATCTTTTTTATGAGCAGCATCAACAACTACATCAAAATTAATATTTGAAAGAGCTGAATAATCATTTAAAGCTGTAGAATCATTTATGTATATGGAACATTAGCCCCATAGCCCCATAACCCTAAGGATGTAATGACCCACTTCCCATCCCTAGCAATTCATTCACAGAACATCGGTCCAGAAAATCAAATTACTAATAAGTTAACTTATGTGTTATACTTGAAGACAAGTTTTTTCCCATCCAATCAAACATTCAGTACTAATGCATTTGCGAGACATTAATGGAAACAATGTTTCTAAGAGATCCATACATACCATCAGCTAAAAAATTGTTTTCACACTCACCTCTCTCTGGTAGCAGTACCATCATGGTCAGCCCGATCATTTTTACGACCACCACGGCCTGCTCTTTCATTTCTGCCACCATCAGGGCCAGCCCTATTATTGTTGCCTGCATCGTGGTCAGTGTTTTGCTTTCTCTCCAATTCCCTCTCCCTCTCATGCTCACGCTCCTCCATCTCAGTCAGCTCTTTGTGATATATGGCGAAGTTTAGAACTTTAAGAGCAGCTTCAACATCAGACTTCAAAACCTGCCCAATACAAATTAAAAATGAACGGAAGTGATACGAACAAATCATAAGAAGTCGCCTGCATGCATAAACCAACATAACAGCAATGACCAGGCAACATTACCATTAAAATAGAAATATTTTTCCTTGAGTTTTTTATGCCTTTAGAAACCTGATGTGCTGTTAAACTAATTAAGTCGCTGTGTGCATAATTGAAGGATAATGAATGCTCAATTCCATCACACCTACATTAATTAGAAACACAACAACCAGTATAAACAGGTACCTGTCTGCTCAACCTTAGCTTAGCATGGGCAGTTGAGAGCCGAATTATGGTTTCCAAGGTTCTGGCAGTAATTGGAAGTGTTCCTCCCCCAGTCTATAAAAGAAAATATAGGGGGAAAATTACACAACTCAGAGTAATCATAGAATAAAATCCAGATTCTTTTAACACCAACCTTGGCATTTGAACTAGCATTTCTGAGCTCTGCATATGCAGTGGCAATGTGATCAGATGCCTGTAATGAAGATTTCCAGAATCAGCACTTCAGCAATCCCCAATCTAAATTGGGTTGCATGGGCAATAAGCCCAAGGGAATAAGGACTATGACGGCAATGTGTTAGCCCAAAATGAAGAAAATATGGGTAACCAAATACAAGAATAGTTATTAGTACTGAATAAGACCTAGAAAATTTGCAATTCAAAAGGCAGGATCAGATAATTTAAATGAGTGTGCCACTGTGCCTCTATATCAGTAATTGAAAGGAAAAAAAGAAATAACCTCATCAGTCAGATCTGGCTGAATTCTATGCTTCGCATAATGGATGTACTTCTTAAGAAACTTGATGGTGAGGGTATCACGCTTGCGCCCCCTCTCTGATTTTCTTCCATGCAGCATTCGATTATATTTGACAAAGATGGATGAACCTGTCTCAGCTTCATCCTCCACTATGTATCTTGAACTCCCATCCAATGTCATGTCACCTGGAATTTTAAGTTGCTTCACTTGAGCAATTCAAATGAATTGGAAAAGCCAACAAAGAAAATAACGCTCACTAACCTCCATCAGTTGCAGAGCGAAACCGGTGCATGCGCAAGACATGCTCCGAAATTTGACGATCAATACCAGGATCCATTTGATCCAATACAATAAATAGTAAATCAAAGCGAGAAAGCAAAGAGTCCGGAAGTCCAATGTTCTTTGTAGGAGTTAATGAACGGTCATACTGTAATCCATGCAGCATCATGCATAAGATAAAATTAAGCAAATGGACAAGAAACATCTAGATATGAATTGTGTGGATGTGTTTGAGCAACTTACAGTTCCATAAATGGGATTTGCAGCTGCCACAACACTGCATCGAGCATTCAGTGATGCATGAATACCAGCTTTGGCAATTGTTACAGTCTGCTGCTCCATAACTTCATGTATAGCCACACGATCTTGATCATTCATCTTGTCAAATTCATCAATACAAACAACACCTCTATCAGCAAGAACCATAGCACCAGCTTCTAGCCTTCTTTCTCCTAGCCAAAAATAATACCAGCATTGTTCATAAATAATCACCAGAAAATGCTAACATCCTACAGCCCATGAAGTTTATTACCTGTTTCCTGATCAGAGGTAACAGCAGCTGTCAATCCGACTCCAGAAGAACCCCGACCAGTTGTTGATATAGCCAAAGGAGCAATATTCATGATCGCTCTTAGTAGCTGAGACTTTGCAACAGAAGGATCACCGACCATCATCATGTTTATGTCGCTATAAACAAGAAGAAATTGGATTATTAGGACCCAAAATTCTATCTTCTGTCAGACTTATAGAATATATGGTCCGGATAAAACAAATGACCAAAAAGGAAACAGATCTAGGTACTCGAGCTTAAATACTTCGGATGTTGGTATGTTAAATTAACTTAGTAACATATCAAGCCAATTTGAAGAGCATATTACTCACCCTCGTAAATGGGTACCATTCTTCAAGTTCTTTTCTGTTCCACCAAGCATCAATAGAATCACTGCCTTCTTTATCCATGAGTGTCCATATATAGATGGTGCAAGTGAATTAGCAAGTAGATCGAATGCATCGTCCCTCTCAGATATCTTTTTGATCTTGTTTATGTCTTCAGCAGTGTAGATTGGAGCATTTGCTTCTTTATTGAGCAGAGAGACACTGTTAGCTATGAGGACAGTCCTACATAAAAAGATTACCCAATAAAGCTTTTCAACTGGACACAGAAGTGCTGTAAAATGACACAAGAAAAATAATGGCCAGGACAAAAAAGAAACTTAAGTAACCTGAATACTCCATTCACACCGCCCTTGCTACTTCCAGGAAGTGCTTTGTATATCCCAACAATTGCCACACGGTCTCCAGGCTTGCAAGAATCCACAAGGTCATCCTCTACAATGACATCAACTGTTCGTGGAAGCTGCCCAGGAGCAGAATTCTCAGGCACCTCTTGCATTGATACTGTTTGATGGTCTTTGTATTGGCATAACCCATACTCAGTTACCAACAAATTGCCACTATCATCCTGGAACATATTCAGTTCGTGAAAAATATTTTCTTATGGTTAAAAATGAAAATTTATGAGATAGCAGTAAACCAGAAATTACCCGTGTTGGATAAACAGATCCTGTGGGCAAACCCATATTGGATGTGATATCTCGATATTCACGGGCTGTGAATTTCCCAGTTGAAGGGCAGAAGTGGACACTTTTAACAACCTTTGGCCTTACAAGAGAACCTGATGGAGGGGAAGCTAGAAGATCAGGTACATGCATATTTGAAATACAACAACAGGTGCTAGCAAAAAAATTGTCACCACAAATTCCGTATTTTATATTTTTATAAGTAGCAATAATTGAATGTTTTATTTCTTTATTAAGTACAAAACATTATATTTGCCATAAATATTTTCCTGGTGATAAAGGAATTTATTTCATTGTGATAGAATTAAGAACAAGTATTAACATAGAGGAAACAACAATAAGCAACAGCAAAATCAGTTATCTATTGAAACTAAAAGCATAAGCATGCAGAGTGCAGTGAATTAGACATCATACAGTGTAAAGATAATATTATAAGCATAAAATCCTTGAAGTTTTGGCCTGCAAAAATACGTCAGTATTGAGCAATTGATGTCCCGTGTAAAAGTTAATTCCGATTTCAAATAGTTGTTTTATTATTTCTAAGCATGATTATGTCCACGCTTATCACTGTCTAGAGCTCCAATAGACAAAACTTTCACTGATCATATCATCCAGACTGCAAAAAAAAAAAAAAACTAGCAAGCAGTTGGGGTTTTACACAACCATTTTGACCAGTTTGTATCGAAAACTCTGAGCCAAAAACTTATATGCCGTTTGAATCTCTTCATTTCTATGCCATCAACTTATAGAAGAGACCAACTTGGAATTATTCTCCAGAAAGCAGTATACAGGGCAATTGGGTGCATCATTTCTCCAAATGCTCAACAATTTCTCTTAAGATAGGTCAATAAATCCAAACTATCCCCTAGTACCCAGAAAATTTTCTTGCGTGCAATATGATCTTACTCATAAGTTCACTATAATTCCTATCCAACCTGGTCCTAGTATTTTCCTAGAAACTCTTGAATCCCCAATTCTTTCAATTCCAAGTAACTCCCCAACTCCCTACAATTCCAAATAACTCCCAACTCCCCACATCACCTCTACAATTATCAAACCAAATTATGCAATTTACTTCAACGAATCATATTAGTTGCAATATCAACATAAAACATGAACTCATCAAATTCTAAAATCAAACATCTCACCAATGATAACAGATACAAAATTAGAATATTATATATCAGCTTAAAATGTATCTGAATATAGCATTTTTTTAAAAAGAATATAGCATTGTTTATCTTAGTGGAAATTTTACCAGTATTTGATGCAAATTGTCCATATGTTTTATTAACTAAATCCTGAATTGCCATTATGTGCATTCATGGGTAAGTCACAATATTTTCGGCATTAACCCCAAATTATTATAGTCCAGAAAACCTAAATAAGCTGCAGTGTCAATACTTCTTTATGATTAAGAACTTCGATTAAATAACAAACTATAAATTCCACAAAAAAGCACTCGAATTTGCATAAAAATGAATAAATTATGGAGTTAATAGAATTACATTTAGTAACAATGCCCTCGACGCAGACCATTGAACCAATGAAGCCAGACAAAAGCTCTCTTGGTGTTACACGCCGTGACACAAAAGGACCCTCAAATCCAACAAGCACTTGCTCTCCTTCCTTCAAGTACTTGGGATCACATGTCCGAGTGATTTCCGTTATTGCATCGCACAACGGTTGCATATACTCACTCGGATTGTAAAGAATCCTAATAATTCGTATACGAAAAACAAAAAATTCAGGAGCAATTTCCGATATGATGCATGGTGACCAAATATAATCAAATACAAAACAAGAATTCACAAAATTAGTGACTATAAACATGAAGTGACCTGCGAGCCAAGTCGGCGCCCTCTCCATTCTTGTCATTGTAAAGGTCGGAGAGATTGATGATTAAACGGCGACGTTTGTGGTCGGTCATGTCCTTGATCTCGGTTTTCAGGTTTACATTTTCGTTTTCGAAGAACTTGACGAATGTTCGCTTGTGCTGTGCCCTAAGTTCCTCGCTCAAGTCCATGTCTTCTTCTTCTACTTCGCCTCTGTTGAGTGTGGGTGTGTGCCACAGAGAGAGTGAGAGAGAGAGAGAGAGAGTTGTAGTCGTAGACAAGGGTGGAGATGAGAGAGAAAGTGAATCGGGCTCTTTTGCAACCTATTTGGCGGGAATTGGGGCTTGAGGTCTTCCTTTTGGCGGGAAAATTGGTGTGTTTGGATACAAGAACTGTATTTGTTCCGAGCGTGACTTGCGCTTATATTTGAGACACTTTTGAGTTTGAAGGGTTACGAGTCGGTGGGCAAACGGATCGTGAATTCGATTTCAAAAGCCGGACCTAAATTCGATTCAATAATCCGATAAAATTTATTTTCGTAGCCTATATTCAAATTTGTTAACAATCCAAAATTTGATCCAATCAAAATAATTTAATTAATTAAAATTTTTAAATAATCATTTAATTTATTTAATATTTATACAAAATATATAAATAATTTAAATCAGATCATAATTGAATTGGATATAAATATATCCAAATCCAAATCCATAAAAATATATAAAATATCAGATTCGGACTCAGACTCAGACTTGGGCTCGGGTTATTGGTAAAAAAATATTAATTCAAATCAAATTCTGATCCATTAATAGACCTAGTTCTGAGTCCGTCAAATAATCAAGTTTAGATCATATTTGCACAAAATTTACCATATTCGATTTTAAAAATTCGATCCGATTACGTACAAAAAATTTTGGCCATTCAATGTTACAACTTACAAGAGAGGGGGAATGCTAGGAGGAGAGTCGAACCGTCAACCTCCAGGTCGAGAGCGGAGAGATTCAGCCATTGAATTAAGACCAAAGTCCTAAATTACACATATTTTAACTCAATTTTTCAAAGAATCCCTAAATTACGTTATATTTTCGTAAAAATGGGATCAAAAATTGATAAATCCAAATTAAAACTCACATAAGTAAATGGATTTTGGTTAAGATTTAAAAAAGAAGTCAAAAAATTAATTTGTTTTTAACTTATCAACTTAATTAGGAGGTAGTTTTTCACAATTTCTATTTTGACGTGACTTAAGGTGCAAACTCTACTCCACACACACACACGCACACATATATATATATATATATATATATATATATATATATATATATATATATATAAAGAGAGAGAGAGAGAGAGGGCATTCAGGTTACCAAATAAAGAAAAAAAATGCCCCACATAGCAACACAAAGGCCATTGGAAGGTTTTGAACATAAAGGACAATATCCCTCTATCAACTACATTATTCATTACAGCATAAATTTCCTGCGTAACAGCCCCCACGGGTTCCAATAGATCTCAAGGCATGATGAGCCCTTAATGTAGAGTTTGAACCCAAAATTATTACACAAAGTAACAATTTGTGCGTGCAGGATCTTGTACAATATAAACACGAAGACAGATCTCTCTCGTGGTGAACATGTATCCAACATTGGGTGGTTGATCTTGCTAGTTGAACAGGTTGTGAGAGTCGAAAGTGGATAATCAATCGTTGGTATGAGTCGCCTGAGTGATCCTAGAAAACTGAATGGGATTCCTGGAACAAAGAAAAACAGGTTAGAAGGGCGCCAGAATATTTTTCGACGTATCCCCTCCGACGATCAAGTCAGTTCTTTGAGAGAGGAAGAAGAAAACACTGTGTGAAGGTTGAGAGAGGGTTTCTTGCGTATCTCGTCATGCATTTTGTGAGGAATATTTATACCTTAAAAACTCATGATTGCTGTCAGTATGGTCAGTAGGTGATCATTAGAGGTGGGTAATGTGCGCATTGGTTTTTAGGAGAAATGACCCCTTCCTTAACTTCTCGGGACCCCGAGCAACCAATGCATCACCCTCGGTCTGTTGAGCGTTTAATGACCTTCACTCGGCAGGGATATATAAATGCTCAGTCACAGGAACATTCAGTGTCTTTCACTTCCGGGTCTTCACGCATTAAATACTGTCTCATCAAGGGAGAGGTGCATTAAATACTTGTTTTTTTCCAAGTCGTGTGTCAGCAAGGGCATTTTGGTCTTTTTGCCTCTGATCTGACACAGTACGCCACGTGTCAGCTCCCCTTTGGTTGAGTCTTCTGCTTTCCTGTGTGTCCTGCCACCATCTAGGTAAGACCAGGTCATAATGGCCAATCTAACCTAGCCCAGGCTGATGATCTATCTATCAATAACCCTACAAGAACAAAAACGCCGATGTAGTGGATACATCTCGGTGCCAAGGGCCTAGTACGGTTAGGGGCCGATGTACCCCCCCAATTCGACCGAGGAATACGTGTCGCCCCGTGCATACCGCGTCGTAGATCCTTATGCATAGTCCCCTCCTCGGGGAAAGAGGGATCATGATCCGACGAGCACGTGTCGGGATCATAGCAGAGAGTATTTTTTTGACACCGAGTACACGTGTCGCTATCTTAGAGTGTCTGAAAAATGTCCCATCACAACTCAAAATGCTCCAAGTGCTAAAGCATAAATTTTCAGAAAGAAGATGAACGTCTCACTGAGAAATTAAATCAAGGCCCAAAAAGACAAAGACTTCTCTTAGCCATAAGAAGTGCAGACAATTCAATCAAGGTTTGAATGTAGAAAAAACCACAACGGAGTTGTATATGCCAAATCCAAAGGAATTTGAGATGGCTGCATCTCACGATAAAGTTTGTATCAGTAACTTTATGTGCAAAGCTAATGCAATTGATTAAGATGGCCCGAGTTTTGGGGGAGAGGAAGGGCAGGAAAGGGGAGTGCAAATGCAAAGTTTCTTACCAACATTCACTTCATGTTGCTTCTTTTTGTTTGCAACAATGTCAATCTCAACCGAAGGCTCTGGATTCTGCGTGCATTTATTCAACAGAACTTGTTAAGAAGGCAAATAAGTATATATGCAAATGCAAAAACTATGTCATGATATGAACATTTCTCTGTGAAATCCAAAGCAATACATACAAATTGATTTATAGTAGGATGAAGCCACCCTGTGGCAATGGCTTTCACTGTAGCAATAGCTTCCAGGCCCCCAGCAGCACCAAGGGAATGCCCTATCATAGACTGAAACAGAATAATACGAGTGAGAAGAAAACGTCAAACTGAGGAGAGTGAGAAAGTAATGTCAATATACACGTTCTTTTTATGAGTGAGAGCAATAATAATATATTCTCCTCAAAGCTGGAATTGATGGGTCAAGCCCAAAATGACCCAATCTATGTGCAAAGTCCAAATCTCAATTAAGAAGCCCTATCTCATTTAAAGATCTACCAAGCCCAACATAGCCCAAGACCAATTAGACTCTTTCTTAGCCACGTCATCAAGGGGAGAGCATGGGAAGCCTTATCTGCACCATCGAATAAAACGGTCCACCCTCACCATATCTTTGACCGCGTCTCATGGAGAGCTCCTTAACCACCTCGCTCGTTGAGAAGAGATTGGAGCTCCACCGAAATGGTTGCTTAGTCGCTAGAAAGTAGCTCCAACCTGTTAGGGAGCCACTATAAATTGCACACTCCATCAACACTTAGGAGGACACTGATTTCCTGGCATCACACCTTCCCTGACTCTCTCTTCTCCCTCGAAGTTTGTATTCTCTGTCTCCACACCCTTAAATTAATAAAGTACCCGACAACGAACGCCATTCAAGAGTGGACGTAGGTCGAGTTGACCGAACCACTATAAATCTTGTCTTCTCCAATTCTCTCTTTACTTTTACTGCATTTATTATTTACACTTAACAGGTGGTGTACAAAACCATTTTTGTGCATCATCAGTTTGACGCCGTCTGTGGGAAGAAGACAAAAGTCTCACTCTTGAACATTCCATCCACTGAACCAATGACGATCACTACCCGATCCATGAACCAACACAAAGACAGTCCACTACGAGAGGAGGAGGTTGCTCCTCCACCAACCAACCCTGTCCCGAATGCTCCAGCTCCGAATCCCCAGCAAATGTTGGAGACCATGCAGTAGTTGGTGGCCCAAAACCAATAGTTACTGCAACTCATGCTTGCACAACTCGGAGGTGCACAACATGGAGGACCCCAAGGAGTTCCACGCCCTGGACACCAAGGAGCACCACGCCCTGCTGCTCCACGCCTAGGCGCCCCACTTGGGGGAGCCCAACATGAGGGAGTTCCACCTCCCTTTCCTCTTGCTTCCCATGGAGAGGACCCTTATCTCCAAGAGGATGAAGGCAAAAACCAAAGCATCGAGCATGGAAGTCATTTCCATGATCATTCCAGAGGAGCCCCCAATCATTGGGACGAGAAAATCAAGGAAGTACAAAATCAACTGGGTGATGTCTTCAACGCCATGAAGGCACAGGGACCCGAAACTGTAGACCACCTGGTAAGGCGTACGGATACGCCTTTCAAGCCTGATGTAGCAAACTACCCCCTCCCTCAGAAGTTCAAAATGCCATATGTGGAGACCTTTGATGGAACAGAGGATCTACTAGACCGCCTCGACACTTACAAGACTTTGATGCAGCTGCACAGCGTACCAAACGAAATTATGTGCAGGACATTTCCAACCACGTTAAAGGGGTCTACCTGACAGTGGTTTGCTAAGCTCTCCCCCGCCTCCATTGCCTCCTTTGCTGAGCTTAGCAGATCATTTGTTTCACATTTCATTGGAGGGCGTCGCTATCAGAAGCCTGTTACGCACCTACTTAGTATAAAACAGGACCACGAGGAGAGCCTAAGGAGTTATCTCACTCGTTTTAACGAGGAGGTACTCCAAGTCGATGAGCCCGACGACAAAGTGACGATGACCGCCTTCTTGGGTGGCCTCCGTTCATCAAGCTTCCTTTTCTCAGTGATGAAACGCCCACCGAAAAGCATGCCAGAGCTGCTAGCCAAGGCCTAAAAGTACATGAATGCGGAAGACATCACAAGGGCCAGGCGAGGTGAGTCCTCTAGAGCGGGGGAGAAGAGGAAGGAAAGGGAGAGAGACGATAAGAAAGAGACTAACAACAAGCGTGGCAGAACAGAGAGAGTCCCTGTTAAGGACTGGCTAGGTCCTGCTCCTTAGAGGGACCGTCAACCCTTCACTCCCCTCAATGCTGCCGTGGGACACATCCTATTCCAGATTTAGGATGACCTTGTGATAAAGTGGCCTGGAAAAATGAAGTCTTCTCCAAATCGTAGAAATCCTAACAAATATTGCCGCTTCCATCGCGACCACGGGCATGACACTGATGACTGCTACGACCTCAAAAGGCAAATTGAGGAGCTCATCCAGCGTGGTCACCTACGCCAGTATGTTGCTGGAAGGGAATGAGCACCACAACCTCACAATCAAGAAGATCAGCAGCCCGTGGGGGAGATACACACCATTTCAGGAGGACTAGCAGGAGGGGGGAGAGTCACTTTCTGTAATGAAGGCCCACGCTAGAAAGGCAGGTCGACGAGATGCGCCCATCTAAGGTGCCGAAGCAAGACAGCGACGAAGTCATACCTTTCTCAGATAAGGACCTGGAGGGAATCCAGCACCCCCATGATGACCCCTTGGTGCTCACCATGACAGTGGCCAATTTTAATGTGCGTAGGATCCTGATGGATAGTGGCAGCTCTGTGGATATCCTGTTCGCAAAGGCTTATGACAAGCTCAACCTGGGCAGAGAGAAGCTGTAGCCTATCAGGTCACCTCTCATTGGATTCTCAGGGGAGAAGGTGTATCCCCTTGGGTCCATCACATTTCCTGTCACCGCCGGAGTAGCACCCCGAAGCTCCACAGTTATGGTCAATTTTTCTGGTAATAGAGTGCTCGTCAGCCTACAACATCATATTAGGGCGGCTAGCTCTTAACACATTGAGAGATGTGCCCTCCACTTATCATCTCGTTCTTCGTTTTTCAACCTCAAATGGAGTCGGAGAGGTCAGAGGAGACCAGGTAGCAGCCAGAGAGTGCTATGTCTCCTCTATGAAGGCTAGGAAGTCCCAAGAAGCATTGCAGGTTGAGGTCCTTGACCCAAGGGATGACTCCACTACAGAAAGAGGAGAACCAGTCGAGGAGCTCACCCCTGTGGTCTTGGATGAGGAACATCCAGACAGAAGAATTTACATTGGCTCTTCCCTTTCTGAAGATCTGGCTAGCCTGCTAATAGATTTTTTGAAGCACAACATGGACTTCTTTGCGTGGTCGCATGAGGACCTTGAGGGCATCGACCCAGAAGTGGCCACACACCGTCTCAATGTTGATCAAGTTACAAGCCTGTTCGTCAAAAGTTAAGGGGAGCCTCCACTGAAAGGGCTCAAGCTATGGACAAGGAGGTTGGAAAGCTAATAGATAACGGGGCAGTCAGAGAAGTAGCATATCCTGAGTGGCTCTCCAATGTGGTAATGGTCACTAAAGCTAATGGAAAGTGGCGCCTCTGCATCGACTTCACAGAACTCAACAAGGCGTGCCCAAAAGATAGTTACCCACTGCCGCGAATTGACCTCCTCATCGACGCCACCGTGGGGCATGAGTTGCTCACTTTCTTGGATGCATACTCTGGGTACAACCAGATTAGCATGTATCCCCTAGACCAGGAGAAGACGTCATTCATCACGCCAAAGGGGACATACTGCTACAGGGTCATGCCCTTTGGACTAAAGAATGCAGGAGCAACCTACCAATGGCTGGTGAACAAGATGTTCCAGTCTCAGATCGGGCGAACAATGGAGGTATACGTGGATGACATGCTGGTGAAAAGTCTTGCTGCAGTGGACCACATTGATCACCTCCAAGAAACTTTCAACGTCCTAAGGTCCTATCACATGAAGTTCAACCCCTGAGAAGTGCGCCTTTGGTGTGGGGTCAGGCAAATTCTTGGGCTTTATGGTCGACCAGAGGGGAATTGAGGCAAATCCTGACAAGATCAAGGCCATCCTCGACATGAAGTCACTCTCCTCAACCAAGGAGCTCCAGCGCCTCAATGGGAGAATCGCAGCGCTAAATAGGTTTGTCTCCAAGTCTGTAGACAAATGTCTCCCTTTCTTCAAGACTCTCCGAAAGGCCTTTGAGTGGAAACCTGAGGCAGAGGAGGCCTTTCAAAGGCTCAAAGCCTACCTGGCAGCACCTCCCCTCCTGTCACATGCCACTCCAGGAGAAGCTCTCCATCTATGCCTTTCTGTTTCCTCATCAGTAATAAGCTCAGTGCTCGTCAGAAATGATAATGGAGTGCAGAAGCCAATTTATTACGTGAGCAGGGCATACCGGGGGGCAGAGGTCAAATATTCGACACTAGAAAAATTGGCCCTCGCTCTTGTCACGACGGCGAGATGACTGCGACACTACTTCCAGGGCCACCGTATTATGGTCATCACGGACCAACCTCTTAAAAGAGTCTTGGAAAGCCGGACGTATCTGGCAGACTTCTTAAATGGGCAGTGAAACTCGGGAAGTTCGACATTCAGTACCAACCCAGGACAGCCATCAAAGCACAAGCCCTAGTAGATTTCGTTGCCAAACTCACACCAACAGAAGAGGGGAACAACGAGGATGCCCAGATGCCCAACGGGGACACCAAGAAGCCTAGCAAAGACCCTCAAGCAGGCGCTTAGGTCAGTTCGGGCGCCCAAGTCTCCTCCCTAGGAGCCTAAACAACTTTTCCTGATGCCCAGACATCCCAAGTTGCACCTCTATAGGCATCCCAGACTGCACCTCCAGATGCCCAGGCATCCCAAGCTGTACCTCCTGCTCCTGCATCCCAGGCTGCACCTCAAGTCCCTGGTGCCCAGATGGCTTCACCGGATGACCGGTCTTCCATTTCAAATTCCAAACCCTCCACTCCTCTACCTTGGAAACTCTACGTAGATGGCTCCTCGACTAGTGAAGAAGGAGGAACAGGCCTAATCTTGATCAGCCCAGATGGCACCACTCTTAGGTATGCGGTAAAAGCTCCACTTTAATGCTTCCAACAATGAGGCGGAGTACGAAGCCCTCCTTTCTGGATTGAGATTAGCGATGGAAATAGAAGCTCAACACCTTGCCACCTACAACGACTCTCAGCTGATAGTTAATCAAGTGAGGGGCGAGTTCAAAGCCAAAGGAGCCAAGATGCAAGAGTAT